TATGTGATTGGGCAGGTATGCAACAATTATGCCATTAGTGACACTTTCATTGAAGTTCAAAATCATATAAATCATGTGCTTGAAGAAAGGAGAAACAGAATCATCAAGTGATTTGTATGTTTGTCACATTTTGTTTGTTTTTTTTTTTTTTTGAAACATGATGAGGGATTACTCCCGGTTGGACAAGCTAATTGTTGACTCCACGCTGTAAGCACGCTCCATTCTTGTCTTCCCACAGTAGGCCCTGCACTTGCGCTGGCGGAGAACCAATACACCTACTGCCCAAGGTGTGGGCAAGGGCAGAGGCGGCCAGCCAATCCGCCACTCTGTTCTGCTCACGAACAATGCAGCTGTACTCCACCTCCTCAAAGTTCCCACATTCACGAACGCAAGCTCGCACCACATTCGATCCCCTACCCACCATCTGGTACGCCCGCTGCATATCACGTATAGTTCCACTTGAGTCGCTCTCAATAATCAACTTTCGAACCCCGTAAGCTGCCACCATGCGGAGCCCTTCCAAGACTGCCCAGGCTTCTGCTTCCTCCGCCTTGCATGAACCAATGTTGTGAGAGAAACCTTGAAGCCAATGACCCTGGCTATCTCGTAGGACGCCCCCGCAACCAGCCCTTCTAGCGTCGTCTCTGCAACATCCATCAACATTTAACTTGGTCCATCCTGCTCGCGGTTTAACCCAAGCCGGGGCTCTCGCCCCCAGCCCTACACGTACTGTCGTTGGCGTCCATCTGTTTTTGAAAGCCGCTTGCACTTCGCTGCATTGATCACGTATCCACTGGCAGCGAACGGCGAGATTAACACGCTGGCCTTCGAAGACTCTTGCGTTACGCCATCTCCAGCACCACCATAAGACAATCCCAAACGTGGCTTGCCACCCCTCTAGAAACCCCATGCGGCACGTTGCTCTCAAGTTCTCGGCGAGCCACTCAGGCCAGTCTAGCGTCTTGAGCCTGTGCACTGTCGCCACTGTGAGCAACGATTTCCATAGCCCATTAATCTCCGGGCACTCTCTGAAAATATGGAGTAATGATTCCGGGGTACCTGCACAAAGAGAACACGAATTATCAGCTGTAAAATGTCTCTTAAAACGTTCTTCGTTAGTCATCACTTTGCCAAGTTTGACTAGCCACAAAAAATGAACCATTCTACTTGGGATCTTAATTGCCCACAGATTCTTCCAGTCTCGATCGCTCGTCCCTGTGGCTCTCCCCTGGATGGCCTCGTAAGCTGACTTGACTGAGAACACGCCATTCGATGCACCGCTCCAACCCCAGGTATCGACCGCCTCATCATCCTCGACCACTACGTGTGCATTAAGCTTCGCTATCCCTTCGGCCGGTAGGGCGTCATTGAGCAGCTCCCAGTTCCACCCTATTCCATTTATCCAATAGTCTGCGACATATGCATAAAGCTCCGTGAGAGGGAGATGTCTGCAGGCGTGGTCATATAGCCTGTGATCTGTTACCCAGGCATCCAACCAGAACTTCGTGCTCCGACCATTCCGAATAACTCTCGTGATGCCTCGGTCCATGACGTGAGCCGCACATTGAATGCCTCTCCATACATTGGACATCGGCTTCCCCGTCACTGTAGTGCTGCCCTCGGCAGACCATCTATACTTGCTTCTCAAGATCTCGGCCCAGACACTTTCCGGCTCTGTTAACATGCGCCATTTCAGTTTTGCCATGAAAGCCAAGTTAACATCGTGAAGCTTCCTTATCCCTAATCCGCCATCCTGCCGTGCTTGCGTCACTTGCTCCCATTTCACCAGACTCAAGACTCTGGTAGCATCCACGCCTCCCCAGATGAATTTGCGGATGGTCTTCTCAAGCTCCTCGCAAATCCCCTTCGGAATCCACATAGATTGCATGGTGTAGGTTGGCATAGCGCTCAGAACTGCCTTGGCCAACGTCACCCTTCCAGCCAGCGCGAGCGTTTTCGACTTCCACCCATCGAGCTTGGCTTTCACTCTCTCTAGAAGGTCATTAAAAGTTCCACTTGTGATGTGCCCATGAATCGAAGGCACCCCAAGGTAGCGACCCAAGTCATCCGTCTTTGTAATGCCAAGCGCATTGGAGATTTGCTCAGACAAAACCGTGTTTGTATTCCTGGAGAATAGGACCTGCGGCTTTTCAAAGCTAACTTTTTGTCCAGAGGCTCCACAGAAGAGCTCTAGGCATCGTTTGATAACCTCCACTTTATCCATAGTTGCCTCTGAGAATAACACCATATCGTCCGCGAAACAGAGGTGGGACAGCACCGGGCCCGCGGGAGCCAACCGTATACCTTTCCACGTCCCTTTAGTGACCTCTGCCGAAATAATCTGGCAAAGCCTTTCCAGACATAGCACAAACAGTGCCGGGGACATCGCATCGCCTTGCCTGACACCCCGTCCCGGTTTGAAGCTCGGCATACGTGCTCCATTCCAAACAATGGCCATAGAAGGGGTGCGTACGCACTCCATGATTATCCGTACCCATTGTTCAGAAAATCCTGCATCAACAAGAGTCTCAGTCAGAAAATTCCAGGAAAGCCTATCGTAGGCCTTTTCTAGATCAATTTTGATTGCCATTATGCCCGTGTTCCCCTTCTTTGTCCTCATCGTATGCATGACTTCCTGGTAAACAATCACATTGTCCGTGATTTGCCTCCCTGGAACGAAGGAGCTTTGGCAAGGTCCGACGAGCCCTGGAAGAACAAATTTAAGCCTGTTAGTTATGGTCTTTGTAATCATTTTATAAGATACGTTACACAGGCTGATAGGCCTGAACTGCTTGATGGTTTCCGGCATGGGAACTTTGGGAATAAGCACCAGCAGGGTCTCGTTAACTTCTTCGGGAAGTTTGCCTGATTCAAAGGAAGACTTCACCAGCGTGAAAACATCGTCTCCCACCGTGTCCCACATTCGCTGATAGAAACCTGCCTGAAGTCCGTCTGGTCCTGGTGCCTTCATCGGGCTCATATCAAACGTGGCTTCCTTAACCTCGTCCTTCGTGACCTGCCTGTTGAAACGCTGCCAAACATCGGGTGAGAGGATTGGGAAAAGTCCTCGAGGTGCAGCGACGCAGTCCTCCGGCAGGTCGTCCTTGAAAAGGTTATAATAGAACTCCTGGACATGCTGTTTGAGTCTATCCTCCTCGAAAACCCACTCACCCGAGCTCATTTTAAGGCCCCTGATATTATTCCGGCTTCTGCGGACCATTGTCGCCGCGTGGTAAAACTTTGTATTCCGGTCCCCCGAGACAATCCAATTCTCCCGAGATCGTTGGTACCACATCAGCTCCTCCTGGTAGAAGATGTCCTCGAGATCGGCTTTTAATTTCTTCTCAAGTTTCCAGAGACCTCTGTGATAGGAATCCGACATGACTCGTTGTATCCCCCCAATTCTTGATAGCAAAATTCTCTTCTTTCTCGCTATGCTTCCGAACACTTCTCTATTCCAAGTTGCAAGACCTGTCTGGATGGATTTTACGTTTTCAGGCAAGCTCACAGCTGGCTTCCAGGACCGCTTCACCGCGTTACTAAAGTCATCATGAGTAAACCAGGCAGCCTGTAGCCTGAACTGGGCCTCAAAACCCCTTCTGTTCCCCGTATCAGTGCGGATCAAAAGGGGTGCATGATCTGAGCATACTCTCGGGAGGTGCTGGACGGATGCATTCTGGAACCTTTCACGCCAGTCCACTGAACACAAAGCTCGGTCGAGCCGTGCTCCTTTTGCTGTAGAAGTGTCAGACCCTCGCATCCATGTTAAGCGAGGTCCGCTAAACCCCAAATCAATCAAGCCCTCACTGCTAATCCAACTTACAAAATCCGAACTCCTTTGTGATGAGTAAGCTGTGTAATTAAGAGTCTCTGCCTGGCCAGTCACCGCATTAAAGTCCCCAGCTACCATCCAGGCACCAGTTATCCTTCTTTTGACGGCTTGGAGCTCTTCCCATAGTCTTTTCCGTAGATAGTGAACCGGACTTCCATACACAACCGCGAGATGCCAAGGTTCCTCGGTCCCTTCCCGCACCTGTAAAAGAATAAACTGTGGATGAGTGTATATAACATCAATAATTAGAGGGTTATTCCAAAGGATCCAAATCCCCCCGCTAAACCCCACAGCCTCGACCCGAACCCATTCATCAAATCCTAGCTTGGAGCAGATGGTGTTCGCTTGTGAACCTGACACCTTCAGCTCGACCAGGCCAACTAAATTCGGCTTATTAACAGAGATAAGATGTTTTAAGGCGCGGCGGAAATCTCGTCCTCCTGCGCCTTGGCAATTCCAGATGCAGCTAATCATAAAACCTTCAAACAAGAAAAGAAGGAACAGATCAAAAGAGAAAACGACAAGAAAGCATCGCAAACACTCAAATTAAGCCGAGGATACGCCGCCCCCTCGGTCACCCTCCGGGTCGCCGTCATCCTCCATGAATGCATCTCCATCCTCGTCAATGGCGTCCGGGTCATCGCTATGGTGTTCACCACCGTCATCCATCGCCATTGAGGGGCCAGGGGCATTATGCACGGCTGGCTGAATTCGCTCCGTCACAATGTGCTTGCCCCCTTGTGATCCCCGAACGACGACATGCTCGTCTTCCTCCGCCGCCCGACGCGGCCCACCTTTCTGGACAGCCTGCGGTTCCGATGCCTTCTCCTTTCCCTTGGTCACGTTCGCAAGTCTGGCTTCCTTCTGGTTCTCTATCTGTTTCTCATGTACCACTACAGTTGCTCGACGTTGTGATCGACCAGTTGCAGCATGTTAGGTTCCAGATTTATCTCCAGCGCTGGCGGCCACCCCATGGTCCACAATCTGTTTCTCGAGTTGAGTGTTCTCCTCAGTGTCACCCTCCAAGGCAGCCTCTGCCTCTCTACTCATGATTTCTTCCTCCCTCACATCATTCAAAGGTTGAAAGCGCGATTTGTTTTGGCTCGTCCCAGGTCCGTCCCTGCGTTGCCTACCTGGCTCCGACCGCTGTTGACATCGCCGATCCGGCTTAGTAAGTAGTAACCACCATCCATGCTCCGTAAGGTTTTGCCGTTGCTGCTGGCGCCTCAGTATGCTTTGAAACCGCCTCTATCTCCGTTGGTGCTCGGCTCTGCTCTGCCACGGTGGTCCCTCCGTCTTGCTTAATCGTCGGACAGGACTCGGCATTATGGCCATACATCCCGCACTGGAAACACACCAGGTGTAGGCCTTCATACGCGATGAGCCGTCTCCGCCCTTCTAACGTAAACTTTGACAATAGCGGCTTGGTAATGTCCACCTCCACGCAGATCCGGACGAAACGACCTCTGGATGCATGGCTGGTAGCGTGATCAACCCGCACTGGTCTTCCAATTTTAACGCCAATCTTCCTGAGGAATACACCACTGTAGTATTCGATGGGTAGGCACGGGAATCTCACCCAAACTAGGACTTTCTCAGTTTTATCTGCCCAAGGATCAAAGTTAGGCTCCCATTCCTTGACAATCAGGTAGTGATTAAGGATCATCCATGGGCCTTCGAATTTGGCAAAGTTCAGGTCATCCACGGATCCAAATTTGACGAGGAAATAGTCATTGTCGATGGCCACCATTTCGAAGCTCCCCTTAGGTCTCCATAAAGCGCGGAGTTTATGTAACACCCCGTGTTACGACCTTTAATCTTGGATTAATTATTTAATTAATCCCGCTAATAATAATTAAATATGATTAATTAAGTTAAGTTCCCCTTTAATTAATTAATGGGGTCCACCATGAACCGTAGACCCTTGCCTAAATTAGAGGCTTAAGTCTATTAGGAATAAAGATAGTAAACCTTTTACTATTCAGATTGTGATTAGGATCCGCTCTAATTAATATGGACCCTTATCCCTAAATCAAGTCCCTGAATCCTATAAGGAATAGGATTAGTAAACCCATACCATTCAGGCCCTGATTAGGAGTCTTAAATATATAAATAAAGAACTTAGGAGACACCCAGAACCCCCACACGCATAAACGCCCATCACCCCAGGAGAGCTCCAAGAATTCCCTTAGAAGAAATCAAGAAAGCAAGAAAGCTTAAAGAAAGATCCTTCATAGCCAAGGAATTAATTAAGGCTAAGAGGTAACCCATGTCTCAACAAAACCTATTTTCATAGCTATGATTTCCCCTTAGGGTTTCCCCCATATTGTTGTAAATGGCGATTGATGATGATTATTATTGATGTCGATATAATGATTCCATGAGGAATCTTGATAATCTTGATATTGGGAGTTTCTTGATAATTATGGTGTTCTTGGTAATTATATGGAGTTCTTGATGATTATGTGTTGTTATTGATAATTATGTGATGCTCTTGATGTTTATGTGTTATCCTTACCGAATCTTGCAATTAGAAGACGAACCGTATTCTTGATTGATATAAAAGTGATTAGAACCCTAGGTTGTATCGTATGATCTTATTCTGGGATTATCGGGTGGGAATCGCATGTTTGGGTGTTGATTATGATTAGAAAAGCATGTTAGGTTATGTACCGTTCGTTTATCGTATTTGATCCGTTAATTGTCTATGTGTTGTCGTTGATTACGTTGAAAAGTGTCTAAGCATGGTTTCGGGTTCCACAACGGTTCCCGGGACGAAAAGTGGTGAAAAGAGTCAGTGGGGGGTAGGTGGGGGTAGGGGACCCGCCACCTACCCGCGGCGTTCTCGGGCAGCTCCGGCAGCGGGCAGCCGGCGGGCGGGCAGCTGCCCGCCGGGCACCCGCTGCTCGGAACAGTAGCAGCCGGCGGGCAGCCGGCGGGTGGACCCCCCACCCACCGGCTACCCGCTGGAAATTCACCTACCTCGGGCTCCCGGCTTCCCCGTTTGATGTTTCCCCGATCCCCGTGGTGTCCCAACGGACCCCGTTTGTCGTGCCTATGTCTAGTTTGATATTTCGGGTACCGTTCGTAGGTTTATGAGTCTATTATATTGCATGCTAGTTGAATTGGTATCCCGTTGACCTAGGTGGAAGAAGTATGAACCCCTTAGGACTATTCTTAGTATGTGGTGGATCACGCATAGGTTTTGTTATACGCTTTATCCCCCTTCCCAATGTGTAATGTGGGCTGCATGTGCTTGCTATGTGTTATGTGTGCGTGTTGCCCCAATTCGGTTGCGATCGGATTGGTTATCCTGAGCTGCGGTTCAGAAGCCGGCTACAGTCAGATGGGAATTCCTGGCTATAGTCGGATGACGGTATCCTGGGCTGCGGTCCAGAAGCTGGTTGTAGTCAGATGGGAATTCCTGGCTGCAAACAGATGACATTTTCCTGAGCTGCGGTTCAGAAGCTGGCTGTAGTCAGATGGGAATTCCTGGCTACAGTCAGGTAACACACTCCCTTGGGCTGCGGTCCACTATTTGGTTGCGATCAAACATTATGATGAGCTGCGGTTCATCGGTCGGTTGCGATCGACCCCTCCGTGTTGCGATACGGGGCAGGGTGCTGCGGGGCCGTGTCAGAGCTATATGCGCTGACCCTCATGTATGGGCATGCGATTGGTCCTGTGGCGCCAACAAAGTGTGCCATGTGTTGTGATATGGATGAGCTGTGATTATGAGTGTCTTGGAGAAATGTGACTGTGGGATTTATGTTGGGGATTGATTATGATGGGTGGTGATCATTGTTTATGCCTTGCCTTATCTGCCTTATCTATTGCGAACTGCATATGACTGTTATAACTGTTGCTTGTGTCTGGCCTTATCTGTCGAGTCATTCCCGGTTTTAAAAGCTAGAGTTCGTAGGATATATTTTCATGCTCAAAATGGTTTTCGTATATCTATATATATCTCTATATGTATTGTATTTCAACGCGTTGGTGTGGGTTACCAGCATCTTTCGCTGAACAGATATATTTGGCTTTCAGGCACAGAGGATTAGAGCACTGGAGCGCGCTAGAACGGGAGCGTAGAAGTAGTATAGTTTCCCTTTCGGCCTGCGTGCCATGTTATGCATTTATATTTCAGAGGATAGTAGTTAGACAGCCTGTGCACCTGGGTTCTCTAGCCCAGGTGTGGCATAGCACCCCGTACACTTATGTTACGCTTTGGGATTTAATGAGATATTACCTTTATTATTAAGTTTTAAATGTCTTGAAAATCAGGGGTGTTACAGTTTACGCATCAGGAAGGAGTATCCCACCTGCTTTCCCCAGACCTTGATTATTAGAGCCTGCCTCCACGGTGCTCTGATGGCCTCCTTCTCCTTCTTGGTGAGCCTTATAGTCGGGCATAGAGGATCATCCGATTCCTCATTCAGATCCTCGTCGGAAGAGCAGTCATCACTGCTCATGTCCTCCAGGGTGACGTCGTAGTTTGTGATCGCGTTCCCAGCCACCGCATCGCGGAATGACAAAGGTGGCAGATCGCATCTTGGTTGATCCGGCTGGGTTCCACGTTCACCCATCTTATCCAGAGGTGTCTCCAATACCACATCTACAGCCTTCTGAGCAGCAATCACCACCCCACCGGCGTCGCGCTTGGACTTTTTAGTGCTCCGTTCGAGAAGATCCTGATCTTCCGACGAACGTTGGTTCGGTGGTTTTTCGAGAGCGTTTTCCATGATGTTGATTTTTGCTGTCACATTTTGTTTGTTTGGTCCACGAACTTGAACTCATGATCATGGAACAATTTGAAATGATTCGAATTATCTGTTTATGATGTTATTAAGTTTTCCTTTTTATCTATTGATATTTTATTTGTCTTGAAAGGTAATAATTTTTAGCTTAGATTGTATCAAATCGCATAAATTAGAAAATTACAAAATTTCGTTATCATTAAGTCCAAAAATGCGAATAGGAACTTAGTTGCTAGAGTCAAAATCAATTGTTAAACTCGTCTTGGCTATGTCAAAAATTAATAAAATCTTTTGAAAAATAATTGTTTTTAAAGACAAGCCAAATGACTGAGTATAGGTTTTGGCGTCATCAAAAAGGGGGAAAATTGATAGGAATATTTTTGTAAGTTTTGATGAGCCAAATGTACTTTAGATCCCCTTAGTTTTTAGGTCTTTTAGTATACGCATCATAAATCAGAATATCGAGTCAAAAGGAATCTACCATAGGAAGAACAAAATAAATTTGGGAAATTAATTTTGGTCCTACGAGTATTCATCCGAGAAAGAAGCATAAAGGAATGGCGTTGCAAGAAATGACCGGATGAGCCTAATGGCGAAATGGTAGAAGTCCTTACTTAAAACGATTATGCCTGAGATTGATTCCCTCAAAAGACTTATTTTTTACAAGTCAAGAATTCGGACAAGCACAATGTTCCAAGGAGCACGATGCGGACAAACACAATGTTCCCAGGAGCACGATGCGGAGGAGCACAATGTCTTAAAGGAGCACAATGTTCTAAAGGAGCACAATATGACCAAATCAGAAAAGCACAATGTTCAAGTCAAACTAGCAAGAAGTGTCCAAGTCAAAGGAGCACAATGTGGCAAAGAAGAAAGATGTTCAGAAAATGTATAAATTCGAAGGAATTTATTTTGGATCAGCCCACATGCCACAAGAATCCAAAATTGCCTGAAGATATTTGATCAGAACGGAAAAATATTTATGAAGACATGAATATAAAAACTTATCCTAGAAATAAATTCTATCAGATGAATTTATTTCAAAGATTCGTTGGATATTCAAATTGACAACAAAAAATAATATTTTAAGAAACAACTTGAAAATCAAGTTGTGATAAAATATTATTTTGTCAGGCAAGTTGACAATTAAATCAAAATTGAAGATCTAATATTGTCAACAATATCAGGCTATGAAGATTCAAATTTCAAATATCAAATTATCCCACTCCAACGGATATATTTGATTGCCTATAAAAAGCCATGAAGACTTGAAGACAAGCAGAGACAGAGGTGAATACACACGGATAAACAAGTGCAAAATTCGAAAAGTGCAAGTGCTCACATATTCATTAGAGACTTAGTCTGAATAGTCTCAAAACTAGTTGGAGAGAGAGATACAATTACCTTTGTATTTGTAATTGTAAAAAGAGTATAGCTGTGTGCAAAATACTCTAGTGAGTGTAGCTGTGTGCAAAACACTCGTAGTTGCTAAGTGTAGCTGTGTGCAAGACACTTAGTTGGCGTTGAGTATAGCTGTGTGCGAAATACTAGGAGTTGAGTGTAGCTATGTGCGAGACACTCGGAGTTGGGTGTAGCTGTGTGCAAGACATCCGGAAGAAGTGCTTGTGTAGCGCTTATTTACTATTGTAACTGTGTGTGGAAAATAGTGAATTACTCCTAGAAGTAAATGGAGTAAAGTGGACTAGGAAGATTACGCCACTTCCGGACCACTATAAATTGCCTCTCTCATTTACATACCGCACTTACATAATCTGCTCTATCTATCTATCTTATCCGACTAACCCGTTTACTATTCACAGTTATCTTAATCATCCGGGTTTAGTTTGTTTTTACGTATACATGTGACTCAAACTTCTCGAGCTTAAATATTGAATCATTCTAAGCAAGTTTGACGTGTTGCATGTAACGTTCGTCACACGATCGACGTGACACGATATTTATTTACAATCTTGAATAATATTGTTAAATATTGAGT